ATCACAGAAGAAAGAACACTAAGATCTTTGTCTTGTTGGAGGAAAATATTGTTTACATAAGTGAAGGCCAATGAACATCTCTAAGCTTATAAGATGATTGGAGGCTGGGAAAACTGGCCCAGAAGAAACAGGCAGTAAACTGATCTGAGCATCTGTCTCCACAATACAAAGACAGCTATTTCCTAACAATTTTCTATTCCTAGCTGTTAAGACCCAGACCATGCTGATAAGAGAGAAACTGTTCTTTTGATTAGGATAGACATAATTCTTAGCTAAACAGATATCTGACCATTATGAATATATGGATGTTATGGATGTTTATAGATAACTAATGGATGCTGCTATGTATGTAACAATACCCAAGGAAGATGGCTATCTCCTCTGGATGCCTGTGTGTTTCTTCCACAGATGCCTGTTTAGAGCTGCATAGTTACTCAACAGATGAGATTGTATTCCTTAGTGGGCAGATGGCAAAATTATATTATGTAAGCAACAGAATTCCTTGCAAATCAAAGTCAGTCTAACTTGTCTGCACAAGTAATATGCCTAGACATTTAAAAGCCAACGTGTCTCCCTAAAGACAGTCCATATTTGTATATTTATGACTATAAATAATAAAATAGCCTAAAAGTAGGGCTGAGATTCTGTTTATTCTCCTATATTAATATGAGATTCCAAGACTTAAAAATGCTTAAGTGAAATATTGATGCTAATTCTGTATGTTTGGATTTTACCGTGCTTCATGATCTGATAGCCCAGAAAACCAGATATTGAGAACAGGGACCTGCTTGCAAACAGATACAGATTTGTTGACAAGTGGCGTTTAGAACCTTTAGTCTAAAGAGATAGAAGTGGGGAACCATGCCTGTATCATTATTTCTTCCTTCCAGTCAGAAGTTAGTCTTTTGTTAAAGAGAGCTAGTCACATATAGGATTCTTATTTCCAAGCATATTTTCATATACAAGGGGCTTCTGTACTAGTACTAGTATGTGTGTGTGATTGGTATACTTGAATTGATTTCCTGAAACAATTAAGTTTTCCTTTCAACCTTACTCCAAGCATCCAGAAAAGTTACAGTCAAAGCTCAGCATTAACCCACTAAACTCTGTTGGTATAAATATAATGGGACCTTTATATTCATTGGGGTTTGATTCCAGGATCCTCTGTGGATATCAAAATCTATGGATGCTCAGGTCCCATAATATACACTAAAATGTAAAATGGTGTTCTGTATATGAAATTGCAAAATCAAGGTTTGCTTTTTGGAATTATTATTATTATTATTAGGTTTATTTTCAAACCATGGGTGGTTGAATCCATGGATGCAGAATCCGTAGATATGGAGGGCCAAGTTTATTAAATAATCTGCAACAGAAGACTGCAAGTGGGAAAAGGGAACTCAGCAAACATCACAGCAGGCACTTTTTCTGCCAGTGGAAATATTCCCCGGGAACATGCCTTCAATGGAGCATCTGTGGAAGGCAGATCCTGGATACTACCCATTGTTTTAAATTTGTTTTACTAAATGGCCTGAAGATGTTTAAAAGTCTGTCAACATTCCAATAAACAATTAAATCCACCTGATGTTATTTTATTATACCTGTTCAATTGTTTTATTTTCAATATTTTTATTATGAGGGCCTGCCTTCAAAGTTGGCTTAGAAACAGATTAATACATTCAATCAATTAATCAGTCAATTTATCTCAGGTTTGGCTGATTTCAACCCTATGTGTTACAATCATTAATTGTGATGCCCATAATTTATTGGCTTTTTCCCTGAAACATAATGGGAAATGCAAGTTATGAAAGAAAATTAGAAAGCAGTCCAAAGGGGTAGTGCATATTAAAGTAAACCCACATTAATAATGCTTTAGAAAATCAAGATGTGACTCATTATTTTGAACATCTGGGAATGTTCAAAGGCTCTTAGTCACGCAAAACAGGCTGAAATACTGAGCTGGTGAGAAAAGGAAAGGGGTTACCATTTTCCAATGTGCTGGGAGTTTTTCTTAAAATGAGTGCAAAGCCAAAATAATTAATAATACACAGCTCACAACACAGGGGCAGGTCAAATACAGTTGGGAATATAGACATTGCAAGTGGTGACCCATGCTTGCCCTGTTTATACCCTTCAATGTCAGTTAGGGACAATAAACATTACTGCCAATGCTAACACAGGTCTTCAGTGAAAAAACTTTTTTCAATATTGTAGTTGTTTTTAATGTATTTTGGGGTGTTGAATTTAAAAACACCCAATTAAAATGCCATACCAAACACAGTTCTTTCACAAATTTGATATTTTTTAAAAATCAATTCAGTTATTACTCAGCTTTGATTAAGTACAGAGGCTGATATTCACATGCACCTTTTTTTCTACTTTTGAATGGTTGTTGTTGTTGTTTTTTATCAGTGAATTAAAGCGTTTTGAAAGTATATTAGAAGACTTTAACCCTTTCTTATTCTTTGCAGGAACATTTCATTCTGTCACATATTACAACAGAAACATCAAAGCAAGTTGTGAAAAAATGGTACGTGATGGAGCAAATCTGAGGTCATTTTTTGATTCAGAACACCAAATTCTCAATAAAACTATCATATATTTTTCAAAAAGTTTTTATGACCCCCAGTTTTGCAGGCCTGTGTCAGGCAGATCATGGCATCAACGTACTTCTTCTGTAGAGTGTGTTGTGGAATATGGTGAAGGCATCCAAGGTTTAATCCCATAGTTACCCAGAATCCACATTCTGAGGCTCTGTATGCATCTACTAGGATAGCCCATACAGAACGAATGGTGTACACAGATTCAAATTTTTTCCCCAAAATTCTTCTGGGACTAGAATCTTCTTTTCATGTGTTAAACAGGATAGGCTTAGTATAAAGTTGGTGTCCTTTTCCTGTTGGAAGAAATTAGTTAATAGAATGAGGGGGGTGTTGTTGTTTATTGATATGGTGAAGGCATCCAAGGTTGTTGTGTGTCTTCAAGTCATTTCCAATTTACAGAGACCCTAAGACAAACCTATCATGGAGTTTTCTTGGCAAGTTTCATCAAAGGGGGTTTGCCATTGCCATCCTCTGGGGCTGAGAGAGTGTGGCTTGCCAAAGGTCACCCATTGGGGCTCCATGACCAAGTGGGGATTCAAACCCTGGCCTCCAGAGCCATTAGTTGTTGTTGTGTGCCTTCAAGTTTTCCTGCTTATGGTGACCCTATCATGGCATTTTCTTGGCAAGATTCATTCAGAGGAGGTTTGCCGTTGCCTTCCCCTGAGGTTGGGAGCATGTGACTTGACCAAGGTCAACCAGTGGGTTTCATGTCCGACATTTAAATCACAACACTATCCTGGCTCTCTATTTCTAGCAATTCCTGCTTCCTACCGCAGCCCCTCCAAATCTGCTCTGAAGAGTTGGAGGGACTTTTGTCACAGCAGGAGAAGCTCATGGGAATGTGTATGTCTTGCAGAGTGCATACCTGCCAACATTTCACAGATGAAAACCAGGACACATGTGGCCAAGCAACATCGAAGAGTGGTCAAGATGGCAAAATGTATTAATGAGGAATCACTAAAAAAAGATGATATTCTCCTCATTCTGCTATCAGATGTCTTCTACCAACGGAGGGACACCAATTAGATACCACTCATAAATTTGGTGCTGTATGCATGTAGCTTGAAGAAGAGAGGAAGGCCACATGCTAGATGGATAGACTCTATTAAAGAGGTCATGGGTGTGAATTTACAGGAAGTAAACAGAGCAGTAGAGGACAGGGAGTCTTGGAGATGTCTCATCCACAAAGAGATGTGTTGAGATCAACTCGAGGGTGGTTACCAACAACAACAAATGCATGTAGCTTGGAGGAAGTGGGATGGTGTGTATTTATGCATATACAACTAGGACTTTAAAATGACAGTATGTTGTATCAATGAATTGAGTGTCAGTTTTGTTTTGTTTTTTAAATATCAGTCCCTTTTAGGAAATGGTACATGAGCCCACTACATTCAAGCTAATGCACTTCACACAAAATGGGAAAACACCAGCCTATCCAAACTGCAATCTCATTTAAGACACTTGTGGTGACCTTCCAAGGTTATGCTGTGATTCCTTTTAAATGCTGCCCTTTGCAACAACTTTGCTCTGTTCCTTTAGAAGCAGAATTATTCTAATAAATATTATTATTATAAGGTAACACATTATAACACATTTTTGCAAGCAACACAGTGGTAGGGGAGGCAGAAAAAGGCAGGCAGATAGATAGAATGAACAAATTAAAATGTCTGTAATAATTTAACAAGTTTTGTTTCTTTCTTACCAGGGCAATACAATTCAAATGAACTGATTCCCCCCCCCCAAAAAAATGAATCACCAAACAAACCTAATATGGAATTGACATATGTCATAGTTTTTATACACTTTGTATAAAAATCAAGAGCATCCATTCTAGAGCACATTACGTGATGCTTCCTTATGACAAACTGTAAATTATCAGTCATTACATACAAATGTACTGTTGTTTTATATATAAATTTACATGAAGGAATACATTATAATGAGGATTTTTGCTCAAATCTACCCATCTGATTAATGTGAAAGGAACTGCAGGTTCAAAACACCAGTCTGGTTTCTTACAATTTTATAAATGCAAACTTCAAACAAGAATTCAATTTGTCATTTAAAAAATCCTAAATTATTGCAGCTGACACCCTGATAATCTCACATAAAATGTGACCTATGCACATATACAAAATTCTGTGGTATAGCTTACAAATAGCTAACACCACAGAAACATGTCACAAAAGCCACAGGAATCAGAATATTCATGTGAACTAACAGTAAAGACCAATTCAAGCATGTTTTACTGTGGCTATTCAGTACTCACACAATCAGTGAGCATACCATCTCAATTGACAGCTAATAATCTGGGCTAGAAGTCACAATTGCAGTTACAAATGCATAATTACACATTTGTAGCTGATTTATATTCATGATCCCTATGTATTCAACAAAGCTAGTGTGGCATAGTGGTTTGAGCATTGGACTTGGACTCTGGAGATCAGGGTTCAAATCCCAGCTCAGACTTGTAAACCCACTGGGTGGCTATAGACAAGTCACACTCTCTCAGCCCCTGAGGATGGCAATGGCAAACCTCTCTCTGATGAAACTTGCCAAGAAACTCCCATGTTAGGTTCATCTTAGGGTCACCATAAGCTAGAAATTACTTGAAGGCACACAACAATAACAACAACATTTTCAACAGTGTAGGGGATACGTAGGGATCATAAACATCCCTCAATCTTGACTTATCAGGCAGCAGCCATTGCAAGCCACAGAGGTCTGTTCTCAGACTGCAGACTGACATTTCTACACCACCACTGCCACCAATATCCAGTGCAAGGAGGAATTGCAACAGAAATCCTGCTTCTGATTGTCCCATCAGAGATAGCTGGCAGAAGGAGGACAGAATGTCAGTCTGCTATGACCCAATTGACAGGAGATCAGACCTCTGTCACTTGCAGTGGCTGCCACCTGATAAGTCGTGATTGGGGCTGTTGGCCCAGGAGATGCTACTTAGGGCCAATGCACATAGCCCATAAGGGCTGGCTCTGCGTCACCCCTGGGAGCAGCAGATTGGGGCCGCGGCAACCACACACCACAGCCCTGATCCTCCTTTTTGCTGCCCCCAAAAGAGTGGGCAAATGGTGCTCCTTTTGGGGGCAGCAAAAAACTGCTCTTTGAGCTGCGGCGGCAGCTCTTTTGAGCCCTTTTGGCACAG